GAAAACGAGTTTGAATTATAGCATCGATGGCATTTGCAACAAACATCTTGAAAACACGAGGAATGATTCATGCACAGAGGGAGCGTAGCCTGGCCTAAAACAATATGTAACAAATGGGGCGACACTACACAGAACATGAAAATATCGGTTACAAGGAGAAGAAGTGGCTTGAGAGAATGATACCCGTAGTAGGCATTCAGGAAAGTACAACGTGTGGTGGTGCGTATGTTTATTGTAACAAACATGTTTCTTTACTGGTACAACCGGATCAACACCCCTGACCCCAACGCCCATGTTCCTCCTGCACTCGTGGCTCGCGGCGGCCCGGGCGCGCAGCTTTGTAGTCCGTCACACACTGGGCGCCGCCGATGCTCGCGCTGCCAGCAATTCTTCCGTCACCACACCGTCACTCCTGTCGCACTGCAACATTCGGCCCCGTCGCTCGCGCCGCCTCTACAATGCATCTGTCGCCACACCGTCACACCTGTCGCACAGCACCTCGGCCCCGTCGATGCGTAGGCGCACCCAGGATTTCTGCCAGACGCACTGGTCTACCTCGTGGTAGACAGAGCCCCTCTTCAGCACGATCTTCCGCATCGCCCGCAGGCCGCACAGCTGCAGCAGGTTGTGCAGGTCCCTATCGGAGAATGGGTAACTAGCATTATCCCCCCTTAACACACCCACTGTCAGCTGTAGCTCCTCCAGCGACCCGCTATGCGCCTCCAACAAGGACTGCAGCGTGTTGCGGGAGAGGCCCCACACGCTGAGCCACTGCAGGCCGGCATGTCCGGGCGGGAGCGTTGGCAGCAGGGTGTCCGTGGGGTCCGGGATGGGACCACCCGTCACGTGCAGCCTCCTGAGCAGCGGCATGGCGTGCACCGAGAGCAGGTGGGCCTCGCTGGGGCGGTGGACACTCAGCTGCTCCAGGGAGGGCGCGGCGCGCTGCAGCAGCTCGAGGCTCCACTCGGGGTCCCTGTGGCACCGCACATCGACCAGCCGCGTCACCTGCGGCAGAACAGAGTCACTCAGGGCGGAACCGTTCAGTCGCGCTGCTCCCTCTCACAAGGCAAGTGTGCACGGAAGAAAAAAGTTAGTTGATTCTCGGATAACTAACTGCTTTTAGTTGCAGAAACCAGGATTTGGTTATTACAACCAACATTTCGTTGCGGGAACGAGGCTGTTGTTAGGAAAACTAACCATTGGTTTGCCCACGGAAAGAACGCGTTCGTTCTCTCAACAACGACGTCGTTCCCTCGACTAAATGTTGGTTTCTGGAGCTGAAACTAGTTAGTTATCCGAAAATCAACTAATACTTCGTTGGGGTAACTAACTCTATTTTTCCGTCTGTTCATTTTCGATCTTTCCTACACTGGGTATATTTGCTTTCTTTCTCTGTAGGTGAAGAATGCTGATCAAATTTTTCTTGGCAGTCATCTGCCAAAACTCTCTAGGGACGTATAACTACACAAAATTACAAAGTTCTAAACTTATTTTTTCAGATATTGAGTGATATTCTGTATCGAATAAGCGGTTTACGGGAGTACTTTCACTACTACTTTCCGATTTAAGAAGCTTCTTCAAACAGTTTCTGGCAAACTTTGAAACAATTATTCGCTCCTCTACAGTAATCTAGAGTTTGATGGTCAGGAAAACGAATGACCGGCAATCGTCATCAACATGGATAAGAAGCAAATATACCGACTTTGAGGGAATCGGGAATTAACACTTGCCCAAGTCTCGTTGCCAGCGTGCGCGGGCCGTGAGCCCCAAGGTCGGCTCTTCTTACTTACCCCTGACGCGTCCTCCAGCGCGGCGGCCTTCTCCTGCTTCAGGTCGTCAGGTCTTGTCCAGCTGATCTCCCCGACGTCCATCTCCCGCGAGGGCCGCGCCTCGGCAGGTGGTAGGCCCCGGGTGGGCGTGGGCGCCGCTGCAGAGGGTGCTGGCGCAGCTGCAGGTGGTGGGCTCTGGGCGGGCATCGTGTGGTGTACGTAGTGAAAACACGAAAACCTTCAAGTGAATAACTTGCTTGGATGGATGTTGGTAGACTGCCTACCTCGGTGAACGCTGCCCTCGTCGCCAGCAGGAGCCACAACGCCTTGGTGAGGGGCTCCTCGGTGTTCCTCAGGGTGCCCGTCAGTTCGCGGCCCCCGCCCCGCAGCGACAGGTCCCAGGACTCGCCCGTCAGCAGGGTGAGGGCGGGCAGGGCCTGCTCGTCCCGGCACCGGTCCTGAAGGCCCTGAAGCTGCTCGGCGGCTTGCGGGAGCGCGTCCTGCAGCTGGCGCCTCAGAGCACTCCTGACGGACACGACGTCATGGTCCTCCCAGCAGCGGGGCGTGGCGACGGCGCGGCAGCCCGAGCACCACCCGCGGGGAGTGCTGTGGGGCACAAGTCAAGCGTCAAGCCATGTGGTTACCGCACGCGAAGCGCAACCCCCGCGACGGGCACCGCGACCGAGCTCACCTGTCCAGTCTGCGTCCCTCCAGGAACTTGAGCACTGTGAAGTTAGTGGGGAGTTCCTCCGGCAGGCCGCTGAAGTCCTGCGGGGAGAACGTGTGGGACTTAGTGGAGGGCAGGGAGGCGGGAGGCACGAGGCACAGAGGGCACCCCCAGGAAACTCACCCGCCTGCACGTCGGGCACCTGCAGTAGAACAGCCGTCGCAGACACTGCAGGCAGACCATGTGCCCGCACGGCAGGGACTTGGGCACCCGCTCGGCGCCGTCGAAGTGCTCGGTGCAGAGGTCGCACTCCATGACCAGGCTGGTGAGCTGCAGTCAGTAGCGCTACCGGGCGGCCCGAGGTAGCTTCGCGGTGGTGTGGAACAAGATCAGCAATGCGGCGCCGACGTCACGCCTCACACCCCTGCCGGGCAATCTCTCTCCTGAATCCTGAACATTGATCGGCGAACGTCTGTGCGGTGCACTGTGAGAGAAATCGTCTTCCCAGCGAAAGAATATAGTGCTACTCAAAAGGGCCAACAGAGATCCAATATGGGCTCCCCTCTAGCTTCGGTACGATACTTCGGCACCCGGCGATATCTCCCGAGTCCTCGAGATAGGGTCCGCGACCCGCGAGGATATCCGCGAAAGGGCACTACGACGAACCCCTGCGGAAGGAAGTGCGATCACTGAAGGACACCCGCGAAAGGATCCGCGATCACTTAGGACACCCGCTACAGGTGATTTGCTGCTCGCGATCCTACCTGCTCCCCACAGGTGCCGAAGTCGAATAATGCATGCTGGTAAAGCAAAAATGCAAAAGAATGCAGTGAACAAGAAAACGAAGTCACCATGCATAGCCAGCCATTTCCTGAACCATTTCCGGTTTCTTCTTCCCCGCATTCTTCTGCGTTTTAATTTAACCGGAATGCTTTATATTGGACCGCTATAAGCCATTTTGAGCAGCACTATTCTATCTCTGGGAAGACAAAACAATAATGGCAACATACATATACATAATAATAAAAAAAGGCACTGCTCGATTAAACGTTAATATAGGGGAGATCAGCTCAGCTACGCGGTGACACCCAGTGACACCAGTCCGACAAAAGAGCGTATTTTGTCAAAGATTCGGGTTTTGCCCTCCAAGGTGGGTTTCCGACGAAGACGGTGCTTTTAAAATAGAACGAGATTTTAGAAGAACAGAACAATTTTGGGGGTACGACGGAACGGAGAGTTGTTTACGTTGCTTCAGTACCTCAACAAAACGACACAGTAGTAGTGCGTCCCGTACAATGTTCATTGGCTGACCCTTTGTTTGGTTACGCAAAATGTCGTTGTTTCGGCTTCCCATCCCATCAAAGCGGGACTGTTCCGTTCCCATAACACACCATCATGAACACGCTCGTAAAAAGACAAATTTCGTCTGTTCAAAAAAAAAAAGGTCCTAACCTGACCCACCTTTTTTCACTGAAGTCTTGCGAATACAAATTAATCTCGATCGCAGTAGGTGCAGTCCACTAGTAACGGGCACAGGTCACTAGTTCACACAACACTCCTCGAAAGTGCGTACAGCAGGGCATTTACTCTCACTCTTCACGCTATAGGGTAAAGTCTCGGCAGAGCGTCCTAACCTCTTCACTGGCGTGCAGCTTGCTCGGGTTGAGTGTCGTGTCAGCAAGTCGGCGCGCTCAGCTCCGAGCCGAGCTGAGGTGTCTTCGCACTACGGCGATTACCTGTAAATAGTGATTCGCTCTCCTCTGCTCTAGCTCTCCTCCACTGAGGGTATTCGAGAACCATGACCGACAAAAGTCGAATAAGGCAGGAAAAAAAAGACGGTCACACAAGATGAGACATATGAGACAATACAATTTATTTATTCGAAGGTACATTTTCATTTATTACTGTAAGCCGATGGTGACTAAAGCGATGTAACTTGCCGATACTGCGAAAAATGTAAGTCGATCGAGAATCTTTGATAATTGAACGCTCTGTAACAGTCGATGAGGGGTTCCGGTTACACACGCTTTACGAAGAACAGGTTTTGGCAGAGTAGACCCCGTTTGGGCTCTGTCTAATACCGGTGACTATCACTATCACATTGGCGGCCGCCGTAAGTTCTGCGTCAAACACTCACTTGTTCGTCGAGCGGCTTATTGAAAACGGGCGCGGTGACGGGTGCCAGAACAGGCAGAAGAAGGAGCGTCCTGAGCATGGACAGCCCCCTGGCTACGGACTGCGACCAGGAAGACAGGGGCCTCGTCCTCGAAGCGAGGCGCAGCGACAGCAGCCATTGGAGAGCCACCACCAGGAACAGCAGCCCGACATCGCGGTACACGAGCACTGCGTCAGGAGGGCGGCGATCAGCACGAGGACCGCGCCGACAACAGCAGCAGCAGCAGACACCACGAGTACGTACGGGCACGGGGCGTGGCGTCGCCCTCCAGGTTGGCGGCCAGCGACGGCAGGCACAGGAGGAAGGCGACGTGGAGGAGGAAGGAGACGGCGAGCAGCGCCGGCCGCTCACTGGAGCCCGGCGGCAGCGCCACGCTGGCGGGGACCAGCGCGGACACGGCGAGCACCGGGTGCACCAGCTCGGCCTCCAGCTGCGCGGGCAGCCTCCCGCGTAGAAAAGTAAGGCATAAAGTTGTCATAATTTTGTCGCCTCTGGTATTACTGGATTATCGATTACTTATGAGGAATCTATGACACAAATTATGACAAATGTATGACACCAATTTATGAGCAATTTATGACTTAATTATCACCGTCGCAACTGTCATAAAACGTCTCATAATTTTCTCTGTAAAAATGCAATAATTTTGTCCTCTAATCGGGCACCTCCGACGTCATCAATCTCATGACGTCACTCGCCTGCGCGGGCTGTTTGGTGTCCGGGAGGGGCGAATTCAACTTCGTGTAAGTGTTGACGATGGCAGGGGAAGATCGACACAATCATAAAACCAAGGTGTTTTGGTGGTGAAAATTTTTACTCCATTTCAAAATCATTCAAAGGTTTAGCAATATAAGATTCTTCATTGATGTGAATCAGATACATTATGGTTTCTATCTCAGATATGTCTATAACATCATTATCCTCACCAGAGGGTTTACATTTCATAATGTGGTTGACAGTTACACACTCATTTTCAAAAGCTACCGCAGTTTCATAGGGTTTTACAATAGCAAGGAATTTTTTTTGGCAGCTACAACTTAACAAACACTTACAAGTAACTTTAACAAACACATCCAAATTTCCATATTTTACTACAGAGTGTTTGTGGTACTGCACAAATGAAGAGATGCGTTGGCCCCGCTTATAACTACTAGAAACATACAACAACTTGTTTTTCAAAAGACGATGGAACAATGTAACTGTAACATCATTCGATTCCAACAAGAAGCCATTTTTAGCAAGATCTTCTTTTACATAGGAAGTATTATCCATAATAGGAGAATGACATCCAACCGAATAAACACTATTTGAAATTTTTTCAGATAGCTTTAGCCTCATCCACTTATTGGAAAGACTAGATTTATTGTCTTTACCAAAGAAAATAATCGTGATAACTGAATACCACTTGTGACACAAGTCAAGTAAACATAAAAAAAAAATTTAGCATGTTAGTACACTTTATCAAAAATAAAAAAATAATATGTTTGATTGAATGAATAAGTAAACATTTGTAAAAAAAACTATAGCATGTCAGTACATTTTGTAATCAAAAATAAAAAAAATGTGTTTCATTGAATAAATGACACTTTTTACTACAAACAGAAAACTTAAACATTTACATTAAGTAGACATTTAAAAAAGTATACATAGCATGTCAGTAAATTTGGAATCAAAAAATAAAAAATTCATGTGTCAAATTGAATGAATAAACAAAGACTAAAGACAAGCAGGAAACATAAACATTTACAATTCATTCATAGTAAGGACTCTGTCGGTTGTCTCCACTTCTGGCTCTATACTAAAGGAAACAGGAGACATA